CACAGCTAGAGGGACAGAGAACCGTCCACGCCTGCCCCAGTATCTGGCCCTCTGCCCTCACCTGCTCCCCACTCCGCCTCGGACCTGAGCCAGCCCCCCTTGCTACTGAGATAAGCGCCCGGCTCCTGTGGCGCCAGGCAGTTGAAGTCCCGCTCATCAAGAGCCACTGAGAACAGCCAAGAAGGGCCACGGGCCTCTCTTCTGTGGCCTGAGACCACGCTTTCTCCGTGGGAGGGAAGTGGCCAGTCGGGGTTCTCCCTGGCAGGCAGAGCCATAGGACAGTCCCAGCGCCAGCCTGCAGCGTCTCCCAGCTTTCTGCTCGGGCTTTCCGGCCTGCTCCTCAAAGCCCATCTCTGCTCTGAGGCTTGGAGACACCAGCTGTCCTTCTCGCATTTTACCGAAGAGGAGACTGGGGCCCAGAGCAGGTCAGGGCTCTCCCCCAGGTGGTTTTGGAGGGATGGATCATGGCCAGTCCTGTGTCCTGCCGCACAGGGTGGACACATAGAAGCCACACTTCTGGGGGAGAGTTGTCCTCTTCCTTCACTCGAGCCCCCCTGGGGGGTTGCACACGTCTACCAAAGAGGTGACATGTCTCAGACAGCCACGGGTCCTGCTCACGTGCCCCTGCCAGGTGAAGGCCTGGACTGTGTCACATGACCACGGTCAAACTCCGTGGCTCGCCATCCAAGGCCCCTCTCGGCACAGTGCGTACCCCCACCCCGGCTTCCCTCCTTGGTACTTTCCGTCCCAGAACCCCCACGGGGGCTGGCTGGCTTCAGAGATCAGGTGGGTTTCCGGTGTAGGAGGCCAGGTGCCTGCATGCAGGACATTGGCTCCTAGGCGCTTGTCAGCTCCACCTCTCTGCCCCCAGTTTGTGCTTTCCCTCTGTCTGCGACTCGGTGTAACTCATGGATGATGGGGTTAGGGCACGGCTACGCTGACAGGCTCGTCAACGTAACTACGGAAGCCTCACTCCCACGAGATGAGCTGTGAAGGGCTAAAGGTTAGGGTCCCAATCCCTCTTTGGGAGCATGTGGTTCATAACTGCCTCCACCCCCTCGCTCAGCGCTGGCTGGGCACCTGCCACAGAGGGACGGGGCTTGGAGGGGGCTTGCGTGTGCTCCCTCGGGAGCCCACGGTCCAGCAGACACAGTGTCCCGTGTGCAGTACAGAACGGAGGGCATGGTGGTAAAGGGCCACCCGCTGGGTGCTGCCCCTAGGGCCCGAGCTACCTGCTGCTCTGCCTTCACTTGTGGAGTCCTCAGGGTAACCCGATGTGAGGAAGGCAGGGAGCCGCGCCCTTTCTAAGGAGGGGCGCCCTCAGTGAGTGGAGCATCAGGTGTGTAAGGAGGGGCCGTGCAGACGGAGCCAGAGAGGGGAAAACGCATGGCAAGGAGTGCTGGGGTCACCAGAGAAGAAGGTGCAGGGGCACGAGCCACCCCGGTCCCTGCCCCAGCCCCAGCCATGAACATGTTTGCCCACCAGGGAGTGGGGCTGGAGCCACACTGTGCACAGACAGGGTTCTTTCCAAACCCTTTCCTCCAGGCTGCTCTGATTGCTGACCCGACCCAGCACGCATGGACAGAGCCCAGCTCCTGCAGGTGCAGCATAGTGTTTACAAGTTCTTGTCCCACCCCTGAGTCCTTGATCTGCACTTGAATGAGGGCTGGCTTCCTGGGCAGGGCAGAACTGCTCTGTAGGGTTTTCCAAGGCTGTATGTAGTCTTAGGGAAGCAGACGGCCACATCTTTCTCCCGGCTGATGGGTTTGAACTGTCCACCTTTAGGTTATCACTTCGGTGCTTTAACCACTGCAGCACCAAGGTGCCTTCTCCTGGCCCATCTTAAAACGACAAAAGAAATCAAATCAAGCGCACTGTCGTCGCATCGACCCTATAAGATGGGTAGAACTTCCCCTGTGAGTTTCCCTTTATGTGGGTGAGTCTGTAGGAGAGAAGCCTTGCCTTTCTCCTGAGCAGTAGCTGGTGATTTCGAACTGCCAACCTTGCATTAGCAGTCAGATGTATGACCACTATGCCACCAGGGCTCTAGCAAACACTAGCAGCTATTCACATTTTGTGTCTTCCCGGAGCACTCTCCCCCTCTTTGTCAACGACACTCATCTGCCTCTCTCTCCTCTCTGCCTCTCTCTCAGTGAATCCTAACGTGGAAAAGAAGCTGGCTCTGGGATATTGGTTCAATGCCTTTGGGTTTCCTCTGGCCCCCTTTAAAGCATGTGATTGATGGATGGCCAGTGTCTTGCTTCTGTGGCCAGGTGTCCTTGTCTGTCTGTGATGGCATCCCTGGCGGGAGAGAGGGCCTGATGCAGTCCCCTGGGGCAGCCACAGGCTGGCCCATGGTCACACAGGGTGGGTGCCACCAGCGGGGCGAGCATGATTTCAAACCCCATTCTTCCCTTTCCTGCTGCTTTGAACTTCATTTATACCCATTTGCTAAATTTAAACTCCACTTTCTGAGACTGGCTTAGCACTGGAGGGTCTGAGAGACTAAATTAAGGCTCTCGTTCCCACTTTGTGCGGCCTTTTATGCCTAGCATTAATTACTATGTTTGTCACCGAGTAATAAAATCTCTAAACTCGCTGCCACCAGATTATCTTCTTTAAGAAATGCAACTCTCTTCCAGTTAATAACCAGGGGCCCTGCCTCCGCGGGATGATTTGCAGCACCGAGTGGCCCGGCACTGCCCACCGCCCACAGGGCTCCATCCTGGCCTCAGTGCCCTGTCTGGCCTGTGCCCTTCTCCGGGCCCCGATGGGTTTCTGGGATGCTGGTGAAATGTTCTCTCGGCCACCGCACCAGGATGGCACAGGCATTTGAAAATGACACCCTTTCTCTGTCCTCTTCCCTGTCACAGACCACGTCTCGATCGGAGGACTCGGGGACAGTTTTTATGAATATTTGATCAAATCCTGGTTGATGTCGGGCAAGACAGATTTGGAGGCTAAAAATATGTACTATGAAGCCTTGGAGGTAAGACCAGTGGCTGGTTCTATGTGGGCGGTTGTCTGGAAGTAGTGGGGGGCGGGGGGACACGGCGAACACTGCTAGGGGCAGCAGAGGCCAAATGGTCCAGGGCTTACCCCTTCCCCATGGTGGGCTGGCCAGGACCATGACAAGGCAGTCCCCACCTGCGCCAGGCACTTGGCACACTGTCTTCTGACTGCTGGCAGCCTTGGTTCACAGATACAAAGTGCAAACCTGGGTAGGTCGAAGCAATTTGTCGAAGGTCTCGGAGGAGGTAAGAGCCAGGCTGCTTCAGAAAGCACCCTCTCCACTGCAGCCTGGATCGCAGAGCTGGGGGAGGATGCCCCTGCGAGCCCGGGTTGCTTCCTGTCCAGCCAGAGGGCATCATTTGCACAAGCCTGCAGGGAGGCTCCTCCCTCTGAGGAACATCCCGCTCTCCTGCTTCTTTCCAAGGCCCAGAGAGGGCAAGGCACTTGGAGAAGGTCACACAGCCCAGAGCTCAGAAGGGGAGCTTGTCGAATCCCATTAGCTGATCATCCTTTGAATCCCACTGAGGGAGAAGTGGTGGCAGGGACTGTGCTGTACTGGACACTTATATGGTGACCTCACTGCTCACTGGGCCTCAGTTTCCCCATAAAGAAGGTTGAGCAGGTTGGAGCTACTCTGCCACCATCATGATCCATGCTGCTCCTGCCAGCCTGCCCTCTAAACTGGACTTGTGCTCCACCCCTGCCGCTACCTCCCAGTCATTCACACACAGCTAGCGGAGTGGGAAGTGCACGATCCTCCGTCATCAACTCCCCGTAGCCCTTGGAATAAGCCAGGTTCCTCCGGTTGCCCACTGGGTCCCACGTGACCTGGACCCTGGGGGTTGCTCGGCCTCCTCTTTGTTTTCCATCTTCCTTCCAGCCGCCCACCTTCCTGCTCTTCCTCAGACACACCAGGTTCCTTCCCACCACAGGGCCTTTGCACTTGCTGTCCCCTCTACCTGGAATGCCAGTGAGTGGCCTGGGCCCACCTGCCCATCAGTGCTCAGCTCACATGTCAGAGTAGCCTTTCCTGGTCCTCTCCTTCACACACTCCAGGCTGATTCTCCTCCTCACCTGTATCCGTATTTACAACTGTCGCATGCACACACGCACTTGTTTCCCGCCTGTCTGCCCCAGAGAGGACCAGAGCTATGGAGGAGCCAGGGTCTTGTCTGCGTCATGGCTTCTAGAACGGGCAGGCACTTCGTGGGTGCACCACTACTGCTTTATGAACAAGTAACAGCTGAATGTAGCAAGGACGGAGGGAGGAGGGACTGCACAGATGGATGGATGGTCTCTAACTGCCCTCCCACACCATCACTTGGCCAGGAAGGACATTGAAACAGGCATCCTTTGAACTGGGGGCTCGGTCCTCACTCTCCCATTTAGTTCCCCAGCCACCAGGACCTCAGTCGTGAAAGAGCCGCCGAGACTCCGATCTCAGATCATGCTTGAGCCTAAGCCCCGGCCCTGCCCGGGTTTAACCTGGGCGCAGACTGTGCCCGGCGACCCCTGGGTTGGGGCTCGGTCCGTGGCCAGTGTGTGCTGTGCTGTCAGGAGGGACAGTCCCTGCGGTCCCTTGAACAGTAAGCAAGAAGTTAACGAGCAGCCTGGTCCGCTCCCCTCAGGGCACACCGTAGTTGAGGCTTCAAGGATAGGAATGGCCATGAATTATTTAAGCAAACTGGGGGTTGCATGGAAGCTCTCGATTGAACAGGCTGGAGCTTGGCTGTGCTCCCCGCATTTGATCTCCCCAGTGAAGACTCCCGAGCTTCTCTGACCCCAGTAAAGACTGCGCCTCTGGCAAGTTTGGGGCTTTGAAGAATGCTGGTGGTGCACAGCCTTTTCTGCATGTTAAAATCGCCCGGGGAGCTCTAAGATCCTGGTGCTTCGGGCCCACGGCGGCGGTGACCAGTTCCGCCAGAGCCTCCCGCGGAGCCAGGCCTCAGCATTCTCAAGTCCCCAGCCGTTAGCTCTCCCTGGCCACCCGGTGCCGGGCTCCCACAATGTTTCTGATGGACAGCCAGGATCAGACACCACTAGGGACACGATTGTACAGCTTGGATGTAGACAGGTGCCCCCAGTGGCAGTAAGAACCACAGTGAGGGTTTCTGTCACATTACCTGGCCGTGTTCCATCTCCATAACATGGTAAAAGCAAGTACCCTTGCGCCTCACTTAATGACATGGTTAGGACCCCAGGACCAGGTCGTTATGTGGAACTTGGCAGCACACGGAAGTGGAGGATGACCACATCATTACATAACTGCCAAATGATGGCATGAGATAGCAGCCCAACAGTCAAGAGTCACAGCCCAGCCACGTTAACACAAAATATTCACCATCACAGGTGTGTCACTGTCACCTGACCCGCCCCCTCAGCATTGGTTGCTGCCAGACAAGACAGCATCAATGCACAAAATAGTTGAAAAGCAGGTTTTTCGTTTTACGTTGTCTTAAATGCAAAATGTCAGCTGATGGGATCGTTGATAAAGTGAGGTGCTGGTATGTGAGTTGGTATATTATTATTTTCCCCTTCAGGGTGATGAACCTGAGGCTGAGAAAGGCCCTAAGTCACACCCGCATCTGATTGGAATTCAGTGCTCCTGCCCCCAGAGTCCCTCATGCGGGGCTCGTGCAGAGCTTCTCCCTGGCAGGAAAAGGAAAAACACTTATCAAGCATCGACCGGGCCCTGGGCTGAAATTCTGTTCTGTCCTTTCATCCTCGGAACCAGGCCAGGTGTTATCTCTGCTAGGCAGAGGTGACTGCCGAAGCTCACAGCTGGGATTTGAACCCAGGGCTCTGACTCCCCACCCAGCCCTGTGCAGCATCCTGGTATTCACTCTGGGCTCTAGAGCGCCTTCTTACATCCGCGTGTGAGTCAGAACGGCCTCGATGGCAGCAGTGAGTGCGGTTGTTTTGCTTGAGTCGTCTTCAAGATAGAGTAACCTTTAATTTTCTCTTTTCCACACTCACTCGGGCTGAACCCCGCATGAAAATGGCTCTAAATTCTATAGGCGAGTCTGGAAAGGGCAGCTCACCAGCTTCACGAAGGGACAACTTGGGATCCGGCCCCCTCCAATGTTCTCCCCTGAATACTGACACCTGGACCCCTGGGCCAGGTTTCTGCCTCCTGGACTACCTGTCCCCTGGGCAGAGACCTGACACCCCTCACTGTGGGAGAGGGTTTCAGAGCTGCTGCCCATCCGAGCCTTGGAAGCGTGTTCTCTGAGCACCTCATGGGTGGCCGGTAGCCGGGGACAAGTGTGTACAGGGCACCAGCCCCCTCTGCCCGGCTGGGTGAGCCCCATGGCTGAGGAGGTGGGTAACAGGGCCTGGAAGAGCTTGGGGGGTTCCTCCGTGGAAGCAAGATAACACATAGGGACACTTGATCCCAGAGGAGTACACATACACAAAAGGGTTGCATGCCCTTTGGGGGGCTTTCTAGACCCCTGAAGCCCATCCAGTGGGACTTGAGCCGGAGGACCCTGCGAGCAGAGGTTATAATGGAGGAGGAGGGTCCTTTGGCCCCTCCAAGCACAAGACAAGCGTCCCGGCCAGCCCGGACCTCAGAGACCAGCAGGCCACCCTCTGGCCCATCAGGACCGTCAGCAGCGGCGCCCGGGTGCCAGTTTTCCCCACAATACTCACTGCTACCCTCTCCCCTCCCTTCTCTGTGCCTTCCCCCTGCCCTGTTCCCAGGCGATAGAGCACTACTTGCTGAATGTGTCTCCCGGGGGGCTGACGTACATTGCTGAGTGGCGAGGGGGGGTTCTGGACCACAAGATGGGGCACCTGGCTTGCTTCTCAGGAGGCATGATCTCCCTCGGCGCCGAGGATGCCAAGGAAGAGAAGAGGGCCCGCTACCGACACCTCGCAGCCCAGATCACCAAGACGTGCCATGAATCATACACCCGCTCAGGTAACCCTGCCTAGGGAGGGGCAGCAGGAGAGACTGAGGCTAGAGTCTGGGAAGGACCGGAAAGACTGGCGGTGCCGTGAAGAGAGCACCGCAGGAAGTGAGGTAGACCTGAGTGGAAGGCGTAGTGTCTGTGTCTGACGTTCAGTGGAACGGGAACCGGCACTGGACGCGGTGGGCACTCATCCTCGCTGAGTCTCACACCGGGGCCGAGGAAACTGAGGCTCAGCGACTTGGCCAAGGTCCTGCATGAGGGACACAGGGCAGCCCTCCAGTCCTTGAAGCAGAAACACTGGCTTCCTGAGCCTAGCAAAATCCTTGCCCCTTGGTGCTTCCTCCACCCCTGGCACCACTCTGTTCAGCACTTTGACCCCAGGCCACCAAAACACCGGGGCGATTCGCCATTGTCCAGCACCCTGAAAGTCACATTCAAGAGCATGACCCCAAGCCATTCTGCATTTGGGGAAACTGAGTCAGCCCGGAGGTGGGGGCCGAGTGGCTTGGCCAGAGACGACAACACAGCAGCTGAGCCTGGACACCAACCTGGGCCTTTTGATGCACCGCCCCCCCTTGCATGCTGCCTCTCTAAACAGCACCCTTGAGAAAAGTTTCCAACCCCCAGTGCCTGCTACACTAGGTGTGGGCACAGGGAGTGCCCCCATTGAAGTGAAACCCCGGCCTAATGCCACCCTGCCACCCCCCAGCGTGGAGCCTCTAGTGCTCTGGTGGACAGGACAGCAGTCTGGGGCTCCTGGGGTGAGATGGAGGGGCCCCGCAGGAAAGCCCAGCCCTGTCCCCAGTATCACAGGCGGTTGGGGCCAGCACCCACCCACGAAGCCTACCACAGACTCGGCGCTGGGGCTCCAGCCCCACCTGGCTTTCCTGGCATGTCTGCAGGGAACCAGCCAGCCGCAGCCGGTCCTTGATGTTGGTGTTCTGTTCCCTCCAAAGGGCTCCCGCAGCCAGTCCATACACACGCAGGGAAGCTGGAGACTGGAGAAGGCTGGCTATTTGTCAGGGGCAGTCAGCCCTGGGCATAAAAAGACAGCCTGCTTCTTAGAGCTTATTGTCCCCGCCAGCCGGGCGTGCCCACGGACAGGGCAGCGGGCACTGCCGCGCTCGGCCCATTAGCAGCTTGGCAAACACTTGCTGATGCTCAGGGACAGCCGTGCCGGGCCGAGGGGCAAGGGCCTGGCCACTTCCTCCTCCTCTTCCTGAAGCCCCGCATGGCCTCCAAACTCCAGCCCCCATCTCAGGGAACACAACACGGGGCCTCCTGGGCCCCATGGAGGCCCCCCTTAGGGCCAGAGCTGGACCCATGCCTGAACTAGAGAACGTAGAAGCATCCCACGAGGCAGATGTGACCCCACGCCCTCAATCTGGACCTGGGGGGTGGCGGGGGGAAGCACGCGAGTGCAGCCAGAGGGGACACTACCAGACCCCGTCACATCCCACCTCAGCCCGACTCTGTTTGCCCTCGCTGACCCTCGGTTTCCACCGGAGCACAAAGACGTTTGTGAAGAGAGTGAACTGATGCACGTAACACCCAGCCCAGCGCTCGAAGGGTTGGGGCAGGGGCGGGCGCAGTGCTTCTTACAGCCCAGCCGCCCAGACAGCAGAGATGGCGACAGATCGTCGCCAAACCATGATCATGGAAAGAGAGAGAGAGACACACACACACACACACACACACCTCTTTATCCTGTGCCCTCTGCCCACATGGGACCCTCCAAGCCCAAGTCGGCAAACTGCTTGCGGCTGGAGCCTCTTGCTTTGGCCGGGCCCTGTAGGGAGTGGTGCCGCTGCTCCAGAAGCCCCCCCACCGTACACCACTAGCCCTCACCCTGGGCGCCTGGGTTCCCCGGGGCAGGAGGATACTAAACAACCAGAGGTGGGAGGCCTGACCCGACCCGGCCCTCTGGTTGGATGTCCCTACAGATACCAAGCTGGGGCCTGAGGCCTTCTGGTTCAACTCCGGCCGAGAGGCAGTGGCCAACCAGCTGAGCGAGAGCTACTACATCCTGCGGCCGGAGGTGGTGGAGAGCTACATGTACCTGTGGCGGCAGACCCA